TACCTGCAACATCCATGGAATGACAATGTGCAGCCGCTGTGCTGGAGTGGGGAGGGGGGGGGGGGGGCATGCAGAGGAAAGCAAAGCTCGAGCCTTGGTTACACATTGATAGTAACTCTTTAGGACTAACCGATGTTGAACGTAGCAAGGCTAGGTTCTCCACGCGAGCAAGGCTAGGTTGCCCACCCCACATCTACCCTAACCCTAACCCTCACCCACGGCCAAAGCACGGCCTAGTGCCGCGAACTGGGCGGCACGCGGCTGCGCCGCGTGCTCGGAATGCGGAACGGGGAGAGGGCGCTGGAGAGGAATCGGCCGCCAGAACCAACGCCGAACAACGCCCGACAAATCAGAACGCGTTAGTCCTAAAGATCTACTATCAATGTGTAAACACTACTCCAAAGCTCACCGCCACTATCGTCACCACCGCCCCCACTACCACCCGCGCTGCAGGGCGCAGAAAAATCGCATTCTTGTAGTCCACCCAAACTTCTTTATGCCCGTGGTCACTTTTATCACAAGCGTGCGTCGTCGTTACCGTCACCGCAGAGTCAGTCGTCTCTCACCTAAAGGGAGTGGGCCCGGAGGAGAGGTTGGTCACCTCGAAACTCGAAGAGGTAATCGAATCCAGCGCCACCGTGCCGAGATCCAGCTTCCGCGCCACCCCGAGACAGCTGTCCGGGAGCGCCTCCAACACGATAGGGACGAAGAGCTTGTGGCCCCCTGCCCCTGCCCCCCCGTTGCCGCCGCCGCCGCCGCCAGGTCCATGCGCCACGCTGCCGTCGTTAAATGGCTGGTGGTGCTGGTCGATAACGGTCACCACGACCGCGCCAACGCACCTGTGACAGTGGGGGCGACGTTGGGTGGTTTCGTGAGGGAGGGTCGGGTGTGAGCTGGCGGGATTCCGTGGAGGCAGGAAAAACAAACGTAAAACGCCCATGAGCAACGGCTTACTGCCTGATCGGACGACTGGATGGTGCACATCATACGAGGAAGGCCTTTTCGGATAACGCGGACACGCCCCCCCGTAGAACGCACCAAAAAAAAATCACACAAAAACGTGCTTGACTCCACACCGACGAGACACAAAAACAGCTACAGCACAGCAGTACTCCGCCAACTGTTCACCAGCAAGCAATCACACCCGAAAAGAAAAATGAGGAATACTTGCTCACCACCGGCCCACCGGAACCGACACAGTGCCGTCGAGCTTGACGCTCACGTCGAGAGTGCTACCGGCGTGGAGGACGGCGGCGAGCACCCCCGCCGGGGGCGAGGCCGCCGCCGTCTGCACGCCGTTGGCCGGCGACTCGGCGCGAAACAGGAAGGCCGGCGCCGGCGCCGGCGCCGGCGGCAGGACCCCGAGACGCCGCGCGGATTCGTCGTCCCAGCTCACCTGCGGCGTTGTTGTTTCGCACGAGGGGGCAGGAGGAAGGTTTGGTGAGTGGGAGCGGAAGGACGCTACTTCTGTAACGGTGACGGCATGCGGTGACGGCATCAGGGAAAAATTTTCCATTCGTTTGTTACTGTCTCATCGACCAGCAATATGGCGGCTTTTGCACGAGGGGGAGGAGTAGGAATAGGAGTAGGAGGAAGAGCGCGGTTGGATGAGAGGGAGAGCGGGGGGACGTTACTGCTGCGGTCGGTAGCCTTCGCAGTAATTATCGACTAAGTAAACATGTTGGATAAACAACAGCAGCAGCAGAGGCAGCAGATATACAAAGTGGGACCCGCCTTGACGATGATGTCCTGAGACGCCACCGAATGGAGCGAAAACATCCCGGTCTGCGTGGCCCCTCCCTCGCCTTCCCGGTCGGCGCTGCTGAGCACCATCTTAACTCCCTCCGAAACGGCACTACTCCCGCCGCCGCCGCCGCCGACGCTCGGGAAAAGCAGAGGCAACATAGCGGGCGTGACCGCGCCGCCCCCCCCTCCAACAGTCTCCTCCTCCGCCACCACCGCAGACTGCGGAGCATCCGCTGCATCGGTCTCGCCGGTGGCAGCTTGCGCGGCGCTGCTCTCCTCGGCTACCCCGAGCGTGCAGAACTGGGCGACGGTCGCGAATAGCGGGGGTTCGCTCGCCGCCGCGTCCGCGGCGTTAAGGTCCTCGCTTGTCGCCGCCCCGGCGGCGGAGAAGCCCGACCTGGCGGACGGAGGCGTGGAGCACCTCCGCGCTAAGGCGCCGCTGCCGCCGCTGCGGGCGGCCTGCTGATCGTGGGCGTCGTCCAGTGCGCGACCCCCGACTGAGCTAGGACTGCCCGGACTTCTACTCCTGCGAGAAGAGAGACAAGCCGGTCGGTTGGAGTTTGAGAGGGGGCGTTGAACGGTAAGGGCGGGTCGTAGCACGAATCTTCACTTCAAGGTACAAGAACAAAATGTGGTGCAGTACGTACAATAGCAGCATCTGGAGGGAGCGCGGTTCAGGAGGCTCACAGCGGGGGAGGGGGCGGGCTTGGGGCAGCGCGCTTGTTCAATATATCACAGCAGTTTCAGTGGACCCTGCATTGAGGTCGCCTAGTAGTGCTAACGGATTTGGCCAGCCATATTCCGAGCACCCTGCAGGCACTACACTCTTCAGAGTCCCCAATGAGACAAAATTTGGACACTCCATCTTTGTGAGTCTCGCGATTTCGCCGGTCGTCTACAGGGCGACCGGCCATACATGCGGCCTTTTTACACGGGGGCCACCGCTGCTGCGGCAGTCGGAAACCGAAGCGGCCCACGAACCTCGGACTGAACCAAAAATCGATCTATCGAACCAAAACGGGTCTGCCCGCGCCCGAAGAAGCTTACTTCGCCAACAACACCTCCTCACCCGCCCCACCCAAAACCAAACACCCAGCCCCGCACCTGCTGCTACGGCCAGCGCGGTCGCCCCCCCGGTGGTCCATAAAACTCCACGACCGAACGCTCGCGGGAAAGGAAGCCCGGCGCACCAGGCCGGAGCTCGGGGAAGGGGAGCGACCCCCCGGCCGTCTCGTCGGAAATGCGGCGTGATGCCCACCAGCGGCGGTCTGGAATCCCTCCAGCGAGCCTACGTCCAGGGGAGGGGAAGGCGAGCGGTCAGGCCGCCATGGGACGGGGGCGAGCAAGCCGCCGCCGCCGCCTTCCCCGCCGTTGCCGGCCGCGTCCTCCGAGGGAAGGTCGTCGGGCGGCGGCGGCGGCAGCGGCGGCGGTGGCCTGTACGGGTGGTGGATTTGCTGGTCCCCTCTCTCGCCGCTCAACACCCGCATCGTCTGTGTCGGAGTCGTGTTGCGAGCGACGGCAACGGACGTGCAAGCGTTTCAGGAGGCGTACGGCGTTAACGGAGGAAGTGTAAGCGTTTTAGTAGGCGTGCGACGTAAACGGACGTGGCAGCGCTTTAGTAGGCGTACGACGTTAAGGGACGTACGAAGTCGAGACCATGACGCGGTCAGCCAAGTACGAGGAAGGTTCGCGCGGAGGGACTAAGAGGGTTATGCTCGCAGTGATATGGGCAGCTGTGTACAGCAGACACCGACCAGTTACATAGCTGCATGCGTGTGGATCCACAGAGGACTGCTGCAGCCAAGACGGTTCACGGAGAGCACACAAGGATATAGTGCTACCGCCCCCACTCGCGTTGGCCATCAGCGATCGGTTCCCATGGGAACAACTATTTCTCCGTCCTCTCCAGGACGCGTGGTCAATCGTCAAACCGCTAAGATAAACATCGTACCCCCCCCCCCCCCCCCCTGTCGCACGGATTTTGTGCCCTTAGCGATCGAAGTTCGGGGGCAGTGTGCATCCTTGTGTGCATGCCGGGGAGTCAGTCCCGTTGTCGCGAACAGGCGACATACTTTTTCTTTCGGGATAAAAATCTACGGTACACGACACAAGAGGAATCATTCATTCCCGCAAAGAACGCCAAGATTGCGGTTCCTCGAAAAGAGAGATAACGCCACGATGAAGTCAGGCAGGCAGGCAGGCAAGCAGGCAGGCAGGCAGGCACCAGAAGGGACGACCAACAAAAGGTTGCCATTGAAAAGTACGCCCTCGGAGGGAAGATACACCACGACTGTTTGAATATACAGGGACCATCCAGAAAATACGAACATGAATACCCCAATGGTCCCAATATCTCCCAACAGCAACACACCCATCAACCCAATCGTTCCGCAAACGGGCGGTACAGCACCTGCCGAGAGAGCTCCGGGAGCCCCTTCCCACCCCGCGGAGACGCGCGCGGTGACCCTCCGCCGCCGCCGCTCCCCCGACTTCCTCCCCCCGCCGGATCAAGCGACGCCACCGCCCCGCCCCCATTACCGGCAAAGACAGGATTGGGGGCAGAAACCGGAAACCCGTGTAAGGGCCCGCCGCCGATGGCGGCGTTGGCGGCGGCGTTGGTAGCCGCCGAGGAAGGCCCGCCCGAGGGCGAGCGAGGGGGCAGCAGCAGCACCCCGCCCCTCGGCACTGTCTTGCGCCCCCTCGACGCTTCGGTTGACATCACCTGGAGCTGTGGCTGCGGTAGCGGTGGGGGGGGAGGTTGGTGCTGCATGAGCGGGGAGAGCACCTCCAGCTCTTCGGTCTCGTCCACCAAGGATGGGCTGCCGGGGGGCACGACGGCCGCCTGGTAAGCCAGAGCGCTGCTGTAAACCTGGGGTGGGGGGGGGGCGAAGGTGGTGTAAAGAGGAGAGAGGAGAGGTGCGGGTGCAGCTGTTGTTTACAAGTGGCTTTTTGAGATTGTGGGGGAATCTCATCTCTTGTGACGCAAGTGCGTTCAAGATTCTCAATCGGGGCCAATCGCGGACGGCAGGGCAAAACGAGGAGGAGAGGGAGAGGTGCGGGTGCGGGTGTGTGGATGGAGGGGAGAGGATGTCACGACAACTCGACACACACACACATACATGTGGCTTTTGATCTCGTGTGAGAATCTCATCCTTGTGATGCAGTGCGAGGGAGGTTTAGAGTTGCAGTCGGAGGCAGTTGCGGGTGTTGCGGGCGGCAGGAAAAACGGCTGAGGCTTTTCTTGCGGTCCGCGGCGCCCCCTCGAGACCGCCACTTCTCTCGCGAGTAGGCAAGCGCTCGAAACAAGACTTGATCAGTACCGGCAATTACCGCATGCAGACAGCACAGAAGACTGAACGCGGAACAGAAAGAAACCAAGCGTTCGAAACAAGAAAAGTGCAGGCAGAATAGGTACAGGTATAGACAGCACAATGAGTGGACGGCCGGCGCAAGAGAGAAACAATTTCACAAAAGGGCCACCGCCAAAATGGAGAGAGGATGGAGGGAAAAAATCGCCTTCACGTCCATATTAAAGAAACCAAAGCCCGCGTCTTCCCTTCCCGGCCATCTTCCTTACATGGGCCGACTCTTAACGCTGCCGTCCGATTCAAAGGTTCGCCGAACGCAAGACAAGCAGCTTGCTGGATACAAATTGGACAATGCATATGAGACAGACAGACCGAGAGACAGAGATACACCCCACACACAGGGAGAGAGCGAGAGAGAGCGAGAGAGAGAGAGAGAGAGAGAGAGAGAGAGAGAGAGAGAGCGAGAGAGAGAGAGCGAGAGAGAGAGAGAGAGCGAGAGAGAGAGAGAGAGAGAGAGAGAGAGAGAGAGAGAGAGAGAGAGAGAGAGAGAGAGAGAGAGAGAGAGAGAGAGGGAGGGAGACAGACAGACAGACAGACAGACAGACAGAGACAGAGAATCCCCCCAAAGAGGGTTAATTCTTGGCACACCTGGGCGAAGCATGGCAGCTCCTTCACGACGTCCTCGTTCCGCGACTCGTAGAGACGAATAATCCCGCGAAACAGGTGGCCTCCCTCCCACCTGGGACGAACAAATCATGAGCACGGGCCAGAGGCAGTACGAGAGTGGGTTTTGTTGATGTTGATGTTGTTGTTGTTGTTGTTGTTGTTGTCATCGTCGTCGCTATCTTCACTAAAAGCGCTCTAAACCCTCAACAGTACTCACTCAGTACACCGCCTCCTTCCAAACTCTTTTATTTTAACAACCCTACGCCCGTCTCTTCGCTCAAGAGCCTACACTGCCACAGCTCTCGGTGACAAGGATTGACAACAGACGGAAGCAAAAACCAAGCAGAGGGGTGGTATTGCAAAGTTGCGCCGCTTACCCCTGGAAGGAGGCTCCGGGGGTGAAGGAAACCGCAATCCCCACCGCCACCTCGCTGTCGCCGTCCAGGCTCAGCTCCAGCCTCCCGACGCCGCCGCCGCCGGCCGTCCTCCGGATGCCGCCGCCGCCCCCGCCGCCGACGCCGCCTCCCCCTCCTCCTCCGTCGGCCCCCCAACCTGCGCCAGTCCGCTGGCGCAGCTGCAGCTCGGCGTCGCTGTCGGACTCGCTCTCGCTCATGCCGGTCTGTAACAACAATAAAAAAAAACAGCCCGGAAAAATATGACAAGGGTACATAAGCATAGGCACGCGGTATAGAGAGAAAGAGGGCGAGGGGGGAGGGAGGGACTTGAACGGCACATCGGACTACTAGTGGAAGAAGGTCTCACGGAGCCGAGCGATCTTTGGGGGGGGATTAAATAAACGACGCAACCAACGCGAAGGACTCCTCGTCACCCCCCCCCTCCCCCCCTCCCCCCCCTCTCCCTCCACCCCTTGTCTCCCTGACGTACCTCCTCCCCTTCGTCCCCGCTCCCGAGAGTCTCGCCGGCCAGCTGCCGCCGCATCCGGTCTATCTTCTTGTGCATCTTGGCCACCTTGGTCTCTCGCCCTTTGCGCTCCGCGATGCGAAGCTTGAACTGATAGCGCTCCAGTTTTTCCTGGCAAGCGAACCAGGCCCAGCGGCATCGGCGGTGAGAAAGGGAAAGACAGCAGTAGGCACAGCACCAAAACCTCCCCGGAAAACGCGAAAGCCAGCCTCCCCGACGAATCTCTTGCGAGTTTCAAAAAACACGCCGTCGCCATGCGTATCTGGTAAGCGTTTCACAGCAGCAAGATATCGCTCCAACCCCCGTGGCCATTTCACCGGGAGCGTGCGTTGTTACACCCCGCCGACTGGGAAATGAACAGTCACCGATCAGGACATGTTTTCGAAACTAAGCATACAATCAGAGAAAGACAACCCGTTCGAGACATAACCACAGTCAAAGGGGATGGGTTGAACTCTTTATAGTGAATGAGGGAGAAAATCTGCCGGATACTGGGCATATTTGGAGTCTTACTCTAAAAGCCTGTACACTGACAGTATAACAGTGAAGCCAGCCGGTGCTAAGCACGAACACGTGTTTTTCCGCAGGAAAAAGCGGAACTGCGGTCTTTTCGAAACGTTTCGAAGATCACGGCCGAGAGAGAGAGAGAGAGAGAGAGAGAGAGAGGTGAACGGTGCGGTGTTCTCCCGCGCGTTGGTAAGCATCCTCCCCGTCAAGCGTGGGTAGGTCCGGGTTTCACAGGGGGTGGGCGTGCAGAGGGAGACACCTACCTCCATGCGTTGACGCTCCACCTCGGGGATGCCGGGGGCGGAAACGGCGTCCAGCTTGAAGCAGAAGTTCGCGGTGCACGCGGTGACCTATCATACGCACGGCAACAAAAGAGAGCCCGGACAACCGACCACAGCAGTACAGCGGAAGTGAGACACAGGCAGCAGAGAGCGAAACCAGACAGCACGGAAGCGTGGGCCACCCCTACAGCGTATGATAGAGGGAAAGAATGGGGGGCAGCAACCAAGATCACGAGCCCGACCACAATGCGAAATAGTAGTGGCGCGGTTGAGAACCAAACCCTGACGCCCCATGCTGCCAAGGAGGTCTTGCCTTGAATACCACGATTTACAACATCTCATGCAACATGGGCGCGCATCCATGCAATACTCGCACGCCACTTGTGCGAGCCGCCCCCCACTCCACCCCGCGGAACCCCTTCGGCATGCCCGGCCAACCCCAACAATTTGCACTACAATAACACAAGACTACGTGTACCTGCCCGATATGTAACCACAGTCGAAGGGCATGTGTGTTGAATTCTTTACGGCAGTGAGGTGGAGAAAAACCGGCTGGACATTTCGAGTCCAATTTTAGCCCATACACACTGAATTCCTGATAAGTGTTATTGATGCCAGCTGGTGCTCTTCCACACATGCATCTGTAGGTTTCTTGTGACGAGTGGCAGAAAAACCGGCTTGAGCTATTTTCACACAACTTGTGTACAGTAGGCCTGCTTCTAGGCACGAGTGGCAAAAAAAAAAAAAAAACGGCTCATTGTTTTTTATCTGTGATGCCAGCTGGTGTTTAACATCTGTATCGGTTTCTTGTGACGACGATGACGACGACGACGACGACGACGACGGACCTCGGCAAAGTTGGTGAGCACTGCCGTCGTGGACGTCGATCCCGAGTCGTGGAGGTTACGGCTCGCGTCGGTCCCGATGGTCACGTCAGACCCCGCGCTGCACAGCCTGACGCGAGAGGCCATGAAGTCCGACCGCGGGCTGAACGGCCTCGACTGTCGAACGGGCGCGAGAACACGGCGTGAAGGGAAGCGGCGGCGTGGTCAAACGACCCCTTCGATGCCGCCTGCTGGCTGATTATTCAAGATACTTTTGCGTACGTTATCATGAATGTTTTGGAGGTTTCGACATATTGAACCTTTCGCGTGCGCTTTGACAACAACCCGTAAATTTACATATAAATCTCAATCGAGCCTAAGTCTCCCGCCCGTGATTTGAATCGCACAAGAATGGAGTCGACAATTTGTTTGGTTTCGCCGCCGCTCCGCACCTTAGCAGACTCCCCCTCGCCCCCGCCCCCGCCGGTTGTCGCCGACGAGGTGTCCAACCCCTCGCCAGCCGGCAGCACCGCCTCCGTCAACGCCGCCAAGCTTGCCGTGCTGGCCGTAGAGGCTGCTGCGGCTGCCACTGCTGCTGCCGCCGCTGCGGCGGCGGCGGCGGCAGCACTAGCCGAAGACTCGGTGCTGTCGCGGCCTGGGGCCGCCGATCTTGCCGCGGAGAAGGCATCGATTCCTGATTACGGCGCACACAAGAACCACAGGGGGGAGCGTGGGGGGGTTAGGCGTTACGTATGTTGAGAACGTCGGGGGGGGGGGGGGGGGGGGGGGAAACATTTTGTTGTGCACAAAAAAAAAAAAGGGGGGGGGGGGGGGGGAGAACGGTTTTTAAAAAAAGGGGGGGGGAAAAACCCCC